ACAGGAAGTCAGAGGAGAACAGGGAGTTACAGGTCAACAGGAAGTCAGAGGAGAACAGGGAGTTACAGGTCAACAGGAAGTCAGAGGAGAACAGGGAGTTACAGGTCAACAGGAAGTCAGAGGAGAACAGGGAGTTACAGGTCAACAGGAAGTCAGAGGAGAACAGGGAGTTACAGGTCAACAGGAAGTCAGAGGAGAACACAGGAACCCTTTGTCACTACCCAATCTGTACTGCGCATGTGCGAGATGGTCCGCCATATTGGAGAACTCCGGACGGCAACCCAAGATGGACACTTGACACAGTGGCTTTTGGCAAAGCTCAAAAAGAAAACTCGAGAGAGATGAGTTATTGTTATTACAACGTGACTTCACTATTCACAACTCTTTTTATTGGGTTCTTTTATTTGGGGTTAAGTACATTGTCAGAATAAGTGAGAAATGGATTTAACTTCTGTTAGACAGCCATATGCCATAGATGTTTGCATACATTCACAGTAAGTATGTATTCAGTATGATAGCTGTCTAACAGAAGTTACATCCATTCTCACTTATTCTGACAATGTACTTAACCCCAAATAAAAGAACCCAATAAAAAGAGTTGTTAAATAATAATGAAGTCACGTTGTAATCACAATAACTCATCTCTCCCTCGTTTTCTTTTTGTGCTTTGCCAAAAGCCACTGTGTCAAGTGTCCTACTTGGGTTGCCGTCCGGAGTTCTCCAATATGGCGGACCATCTCGCACATGTGCACTGCAGATCGAGCAGAGCTGCAGATCGGGTAGTGACACCCTAACGTAACCTACACACGGTCACGTTGACGCTTGCCGGTGGGCGTATCTGGCTTGCGACCAACAGCCAATCACATGAATCTCCTGCCCCGGACACACAAAGAGCGCGTTTGATTGGCTAGAGCTTGTACTGGCATATGATTTGATTGGCTGGCGCTTCCGTCGACGCTTGAAAAGTTGAACTTTTCTCAACTTTCAGCGCGAGCAACGGAGGCAAAGCCAAGCAACGGAACCACAATGCAACAAAACCGTGTGTAGGAACCCGTTCACTACAGATTTAGAAAAAGCATTCAACAAATGTCTTATTAAACCTCCAGAAGAGATAAATAAGAACTAGTACATTTAGAAGCTTTTATTTCGACGTGTAATATTTCCTATGAATTCAGAATCTATAATATGAAAATCCTTAAGGTAAACGTCAATGATTTATTCTCTTATTTGTTGGTATAAATAATAAGATGTACCTGCGATGGCGCCCATGCAAGCCTCCAGCTTGCACATGGTGAGTCCCAGGAAGTAATAGCCCCTGGCGCTGCAGACGAACACCTGGCTGACGGAGAAGGTGGTGAAGATGAAGCCGGCGAACGACACGTTCACCAGGATGTAGTTCAGAGGAACCCTCAGCTTCTTGTGCTTCAGCGTGACGAAGAGCACGAGTACGTTGAGAGGCGTCCCTGCAAAGAAGACAAAGCCCATGAAGATGGTCTGCAGGTGGAAGGCCCAGCGGGGGGCCAGGTGATACTGAGGGCCTTCGAAGGGACTGATGTTCGAGACATTCTCGTAAAGGTGAAAGTCCTTCCCCATCGTGACCTCCGACTGTATAACACAGCTCCAGTCTGCAGCCTCTTTATATACGCAGCGATAACCCAACCCTCCCGTCTGATAAACCCTAACTCCATTCCTCTTTATCAACACACCAATAATAACCCGATAACTAAGAGGATTTACTCCTAAAGCTGCTTTTCTGCAGCTTTCAGACGGACTGAGTCCATGACGACACTCACTCACCTGTGTGAGGAGCTTTCTGTGAGAACAGATAACAAACATGCTGCTGAATGGTTTTAGTCCGTCACGCTGATAGCTCATGCTCTGAGCAACACCCATCTCCCCTCTGCGGTCTGTGTGAGATACAGACTGCAAGGTCAAAATGCTGTTTCTCACAATCCCGAGGAATAAAAGTTCAAACCAAGTTACAAAAGCAGCCTGTTATGCACATTGCAAAGAAGGGCTCTACGAGTAATCAGTAATGTTGGATATCTTGAACACTGTTCATTATTATTGAAGTCACACACTCTGGAGTTTAATGATCTGGTTATATTTCAAAGTGCATCATGTACAGAGCAAGAGATGATCTGCTTGCTAGGAAACTACAGACGTTGTTCACAGACGGAGAGGGGAGGTCTCATCTGAGAGGAGGTCTACATCTGAAACAACTCAAGGTCAGAAGAACTCTGAGAAGAGCAGAACGATCTGTGGGGGGGTTCATGGAGCGCTTTGGAGCTGGAGTTCAAACAAAGCACACATAGCATTCACTTTGAAGGATGCACAGAAACACTTCTTTGGAGAAGTGTGAGAATGAAGAAAGGAGATTGAAGAGGAGCAATGATTGATCAGCAGTGAGTAGGGGGGTCCATAAGCATCTGCTTCCTCCTGCTCCCTTCGGGCACATAGGATTCATTATTATTCATATTATTCATATTTTTGTTGAATATATAAATATTATTATGAACATTGTTAAATGCTGTATTCTAACAATACGCTATTCACATTTGTTATTTTAATCTGTTTGAAATAAAGATGGAAATGAAATGAATAAAATATCTCTCTCTGTGCAGCTGCTGCTCTGAAGTCTCATTGATCTGCACTGAATAACGGAGTCTGTGACTTCAGGCTCTCCTTACCCCTTCACCTGAGCGCACTGTGCAAATCCACTCAGACCCTCGGATTACACCGAAGATTCACTTCTCCCACTTAACTGATTTAACTTGCTGTGAGCCACTGTTAGCCACTGTTAGCCTCTTTAAACCTCTTTAAACCACTTTGAACTGATTAGCCCGGGTCTGAAAGGACCAAGCGTTAGCCAGAGGAAGCAGATTAAAAGGGTTAATCTCTGTTTCGGTTATACAACAACTGCTTCATCTTCACGGGACAGAACGGAGGACAGGTCAGGGTTCATATCCTCTTCCATAAGTCTGGTTCTGTATTTCTACAGGTCTGGTTCTGTGTTTCTACAGGTCTGGTTCTGTGTTTCTATAAGTCTGGTTTTGTGTTTCTACAGGTCTGGTTCTGTGTTTCTATAAGTCTGGTTCTGTGTTTCTATAGGTCTGGTTCTGTGTTTCTACAGGTCTGGTTCTGTGTTTCTATAGGTCTGGTTCTGTGTTTCTGTAGGTCTGGTTCTGTGTTTCTCTAGGTCTGGTTCAGTGTTTCTACAGGTCTGGTTCTGTGTTTCTGTAGGTCTGGTTCTGTGTTTCTGTAGGTCTGGTTCTGTGTTTCTCTAGGTCTGGTTCTGTGTTTCTGTAGGTCTGGTTCTGTGTTTCTGTAGGTCTGGTTCTATGTTTCGACAGGTCTGGTTCTGTGTTTCTATAGGTCTGGTTCTGTGTTTCTGTAGGTCTGGTTCTGTCTTTCTACAGGTCTGGTTCTGTGTTTCTATAAGTCTGGTTCTGTGTTTCTACAGGTCTGGTTCTGTGTTTCTATAAGTCTGGTTCTGTGTTTCTATAGGTCTGGTTCTGTGTTTCTACTGGTCTGGTTCTGTGTTTCTATAAGTCTGGTTCTGTGTTTCTGTAGGTCTGGTACTGTGTTTCTGTAGGTCTGGTTCTGTGTTTCTATAGGTCTGGTTCTGTTTTCTGTAGGTCTGGTTCTGTGTTTC